CCCTCTGGCCCCACACTTCCCACAGGCTGTTTCTAGCCAGTGACTGACCACAGGTGGGGTACTAAAAAAAAAAAGCAGGCCCATTCACGCAGGACAAGGGACTCCTCTAAAGGGCAACCAGCTGAAGGACTCCTTATCGGCCTTGCCTAAACTTTCACACAACCTCACTGCACTTCTAAGACTTTTCCTACCTGTTTTCCCTCCTTCCCTTTCTTCTCCACAAGCATCACACTTGCATGGGTCTGATGGCCCCCTCACAAGTCCTTCCCTCAATAAATCTAAATCTAATCTTGAACTTGCAGTCTTCTTGTTCTTAGGGGACTTGAACTAACAGTCTCGAACTGCGAACAACTCAATATTGATCAACAGGAGAATGAACAGCATGTCATAAGAAATGAGTAACAAACTACAACTACAAATAATCCTATGGATAAAATTCATGATGAAATGAGTGGTAGTTACACAATTAGGGTCTGCCAAAAACCATGAATCTGTAACTACTCTGTATTTACAGTATATTTCACAATAAAAAAAAATATTTTTAAAGGAAAGGCAAAACTGAGAAGTCAACAGTGCTCAAACCAAAGGGGAATTTGCTACTATTCACTCAAAGTTTAAGAAGATGTTGGAGCAAAGCAAACAATGCACTGTTACCATTTTCCACAATGCTCTCCTCCCCACGTGCACCCCCACGAAGTCATCAAGGTTAAAAGATCACTGTGAAAAAAAAAAAAAAAAAGATCACTATGAATCTAGTAACATATTTTTATGCAAACACTTAAAGGGGAATGAAATCAACATTTACAGGCACCAGCTGCTATATTTCAGGAACTGTACTGGGAAATCTACAGATCAGTATTGTGGGGGAAATCGCACAGAGGAATCCAAGTCCGGCATCAGTGTTGCAGTTTTACAGCTCTTTATTTGGTGTTACAGCTCTTTGTTCGGTGTTACAGTGCCTTTTTGCTTGCAAGCAAGGAGAGCACTGGGGAATGAAGACTCCTAGACCAGTGTCTCCCTGAACAAAGGGAAGAGGCAGTCTTATATAGCCAAAATTCGCACCCTAACTTCCCGCCCAAGTTACCATTTAGGTCCTCTTAGGTAAATGTGGGATGCAATCCTGCTAATGTGTATTGGCTGGTTATGGGACACAGTCCATTGGTCAGCTCTGGAGTCTAATTTGCATCCAGACCTTAGGGTGGTGTGAGACTGTTGTCTCCTATTAGCACATGGATACAGGTGGGTGCAGGAAGCGGACAAGCTAAGTTGCAGGACCCAGAGTTTGCTATTAAGACAGTCAAGCATAAAATTTCTAAAATGGTTTCTCGAGTGGAAATAAAAGGGAAAGTTTTAACAATTAGAAAATGTTCAGGGTTCTCTGCAACAATCAGAATTTCATCTAGTTCTTAAAATAGCCTTATACAATAGGTTTAACCCCAATTTACAACTAAGGAACTGAAGGTTTTCGAAAGGCCATGTGGCTATGAATCAGCAATGTGGCTTTGGACCAGGAAGGAGTGGATCCCCATTTCCACCCAGATTGTTCCTACCTGAAAGGCCATGCTGGATCCACGTCACAGTCCCCATTCTTTTCTCAATACCATGTCTTCCAAATTGAACAAAATGCTTGGGCAAAATAGTTGATTCTCTTCTTCTAACTTTTTTTCATCCGAGGAAACGGAAAAGAAAACACATTTAATTAAGCACCTAACCAATATAAAGAAGTATTTACATTTAAATGCTCTTCGTAAGCAAATTAAGATTCTGCTAATAGCTAACCCAAACGAAGTGCCCAAAGGTATTATTTTCAACTTCTAAATAACTCACAGGATTAACATTTCAGAAACAGCAGTAACCTTTTTTCCCACATATTTCTAACATACTGGGGGGAAAAATGCTAACAATTAAGGAGTGCAGCCAGTAGAGTTGTAACTGTGTGCGCAATCGGGTAATTCACTGGGAAGTAAAAACACTGGAATTAAATTTCTTCTATCCAACTTCAACTTAATAACTCTCATATCTTATCAGTACGGTATAGCCAAATTTGAGAACTGCCACAAAATGCAAAGGCACATGCAAACCA